CCATCTCCCAGCCCCGGCTCTATCATTGCGCTCAGGAAAGCTGACCTCCAGACTGAACAGCGTAGTCCAGCCAAAGACTCTTCCTGGTGGCAGCGCCTACTCTGCCGCCCAGATGGGGCTGGCCGCTGTCACTCGTGGAGTGCCCGGTTGTTCATGCCCAGAAAAGGAGTGTGGAGAGTTCCCAGCGGTTCACTGTGCCTGGGCAGCAAAGGCATCAGCCCTCGCCTCTCTCTGACAAGGTGGCCCCCCTGCCAGAAAAAGCAGAGGGAAAACCACTTGCTATGCCGTTGCTAGGAAGCCGTGGGATGTTGGTTTTCTTTTCTTTTCTTTTTTTTTTTTTTGAGTAGTATTGGAGGCTTGCCCTTTTAATAACAGGAAGATCTATAGGTTATTCTTACAATATTGAATGTGCTTTTCTGAAAAATGTGTTATTAAAGCAGGATTCTCTCATCAAATCCTTTTTTCCACCATTCATTAAATTAAATATATATATCTCCCCTTGGATCCAAGACAGGAGTGCAAGGCGTTCACAATGAAAATGACAATGGGAAGGTTCTTGTAGAAGTAGCTTAGCTCGTTGGTTGCTATGGCCGGTCAGCCCCCACGGCCGTAGTCATGTCAGGGAACAGTCAAGAGATGGGGCAAGGATGCGATGCATGCTCTTCACATATCAGTGTTGAGCCTCCTGACCCTGTGGAAGCTGAGCAGAGGGCACTAGGCCATTCTCATCCACTCTTCTGGTTCGCTGAATATTTCCTGAGCTGTGTGTCCAAGGTACTGAGCTTGGCTGGATGAGGCAGCTGCAGTCCTCCCCTCAAACAGACAGAGGTCATTAGGATTCAGAGTCTATGCAAGAATGAAGGTCTGGCGGGGACATGACCCAATAAAAAGGGGGCCAACTTTTCCTGGGCCGGTCAGGGAGCCCCATGGAGGACTTTGAGCTGAGTCTTAAAGGATAAGCATCAGGTTTTTCCAGTGGGAAAGACAAGGCAGGGAGAGCAAGGTGGAAGGCAGGGAGCCTGAGGCATCACGAAGGGGACATTTCCTGTGGCTGGGTAGGAGGATGAGCGGGGAAGAAAGAAGGATGGTCCAGATGGCTAGGGATCTTGAATCTGTTGCCAAGAAATGGGAACTGTCTCTGTAGGTGCCCAGTAAGAAAGCAGGAGGAAGCGTCACCTTAATCTCAGTCACACCTGTAAACCCCTCTGTGGGGGGAGGGGCGGCAGCGATGGTTCCCCAGCACAGATGGAGCCACGCCCTTCCCTTCGTAGCAAGATCCAGCAGAATCTTCTGCAGTGATGGAACTGGTGTAAATCAGCGCTGTCTAACGGTGTGGCCACTAGCCACATGTGGCCACGGAACACTTACAATGTGGCTAGTGTAACTAAGGGGTTGAATTTGAAATTTCACTTAATTGGAATTAACTTAGTTCCCATTTAAATCGCTCCATGTGGCTGGTGGCTACTGTCTTAGTGCTTTGCAGGAGGCAGTGGTTATAGCTTGATGGGGGGCAGGGGGGCGAGGAATAGATGATTAGGGTCCCCCTCTAGACAACTCGTGGTAAATTGGATGTCAGGGAGGGAACTGACCACAGGTGTGTTCTGATACCAGTACTGGGCTGGGTACTATGGGGAGAGACCTTAAAAGAATCTTACAGAAACATGACACATTTGCATAGAATAATGAAGGGAGGCAGTCGGTGTGTGACAAACTGCTGCCCAGCATGGCACCAGCTTACTGGGACCCTGCAATAGCTCCTGGCATCCTCCTCTTTCCATATCACTGCCCTGAGCAGCTGTGTGCACCCCTCGGAACAAGGGTCCTACCTGCACCTCTCCGCTGTCAGGAAAGATGCCAGGAGCGGCGTGGAGACATCAGGAAATCACACTAGATCTGTGATGGAAAGTGTGCTGTGAAGAGATTGCATAGGCGGGTGCTCTTTACCTGTAGAGCTTTCCTGGAGAAACCCAATTGTAATGCAACCTGTATTTTCCCATTGGAGCCATGAACAGCTGTGTTTTCTGACCAAGAATTCACCACCAAACAGAACATAACGTGACAGAATAATGCCATGAAAGCAGAGAAAAACTAAAGCCATAAATCTCAGTAACTACTAAAAGTGATAAAATTCTGCTACTTATTCTCTAAAATGAATATAAATGCACAGTGTTGGTACATACTAAGGAAAGGCAATCTTCCATTAACATAAAAAATTCAACTCCGCTGTGCCATAAATTAGATTTTCCTCATACTGAATTATTAAGTGTGATAAACACAAATTGAACATTTGAATAATAATAGTTTTGCTTCTCCCTGAAATTTAAAGTGGATTCAAGGATGTTTTTATTTTTCTCCTAATAAATTTCTCTGTAACCAGCAGAAGTAGACATAATTATTCCATTATCCATTCCATCCATCTGGATGCCAAGTTCACAGCATCAGTGGCCCAAGGAGGCGAAGTCTGAGGAAAACATACAGTGAAGTGAATCAGAGCCTATGTCAGGAGGCCTCCGATACACAGATGGGAAGGTTTTAGCTGGAGAAATATTTACTAAAACCTGCAAATAAATGCTCTAATTTTTTTCCATTCTTAATTTCTTATTTTCTCACTCTAGTTCCTGAATTCTGATTTAAATAATCATATGTCCCATGTTCTTCTTGTCATTGTTTTGAAAATGCACTGTGATTTTATATTTTTAGAAAAATTCATTGTAGACAGCACAGATTAGAAGAAAATAAGAGAACCACAGTTCTACTACCCATCGTTGACTGTTGAGGACATTTGGGCCTGTCTATGTTCAGTTATTTTTGTTTTCTGTGCGTGAGCACACAATATCAAAACACAGCTTTGCTGTTTCAATTAACCCTTCCTAAACATTTCCTGATACTTTCAAATATGTTTCCAACACACTATTGTAATGTCTATAGGATATTTCATTGTAGAGGTCACCTACATTGTTTTAACTAGGCTCCTATTGTAGGCAAATTAGATTTTTCTTTTCATTTTCACTGTGATGGAAACCCCTGTGTATAAAGTCTTTGTCCACATGCACTACTATTTCCTTAGGTGTGGACTTTCCCTGTCAAACGATAAGAACCTTTCTTAGGGCTGTTTATATGTATTGCTAGTTGCCCTTTAGAAAGCTGTTCTCATGTAGTTATTATGAAAATGGGTGTTGAGGTCAGAAAGACCGGAGCTGCAGTCCTGGTGCAGCAGTTCTGTACCTGTCATCAGCCACATGACCTTGGGCAAGTTTTCAGCATCTCCAAGTTTCGGCTTCCCTATCTGTGAAGTGGGCTAAGTCCTAAGACCTCCCTCATATCCGTTGCCACATGGAACACATGAGATAACCCACATAAAAGCTAAATGTAGCAAAATGCTTGACGTGAGAGCTAACAATTATACACGTCTGCCAGTAGACTCCCCCCTTCTCTCACAAACCCTGGGCACAATTTTGTGTAAGACTCATCAAGGTGACAAGTGAAAAAAGCTGTTTTGTAGTTTTAACTTCTGTGCCAAAACACATCTTTCAAGGCTTCAAAAATATGTGAAACATTTCAAGCGAAGGGCTGGCTTTGACAAACGTTTTTTGTCCCAAATGTTTTTTCCTCATGCGTGTCAAGTAATCAAACAAGCTGAAATCTTCCTTAGCTTTAGAGGGTGGATATATTATTGATTGTGTCTGAGAGCACAGGTGGTCTGTGGGCGGGGCGGAGCATATGTGCATAGCAATTTATTAAATGTGTGCTTAAACCATTTTCTCTCAATAGTCTCTATGAATTGGATTTAGCTGTCCATAATTTATTTTAAATTGTATAAATAGCTTTGTGAGACAGCCAGCAGAAATACAGAGCAAAGAAGGAAAACATTCACCAACAATCCTTTCATCCAAATTAAATTTTATTTGTTTACTGTTCGCACAATTTTACAGAATTACATTAGATGCTCTTTCAAGTTAGAAGATGCATTTTCTCATGTCAAAGCCAGTTCTTTTCCATACAAATACTGTCATTGTCGCAGGCCCAGTAGGTGCCATGCCATTCATGTCGCTTCAGTGGGAGTGGTATAAAAAGAGATCCATACACGTGGGCCAGGAAGGAGGGTGGGTGACAAGCCTCCTACGGGAGTGAAGTAGAAATGAAAGCTGAGGGGAGAACCTGGGGCAGCTGAAAATGTCGCTGTGCAGCCTGAATGTGATGGGAGGGGGTTAGTATGAAATGAAAATTGAGGAGGGTTCATACTCAGACATTTAGAGGCCATTTTAAGGACAGGCTTTATTTGCTTTTTCCTGGAAGCCTGAAGGCTCCACGCGAATTTAAAGACACAGTACTGAGTGTCCCCTACCGGAAAGGGAACATGACTTCACAGGATTTCTGTCATGCAAGTGGGAGAAGCTATTAAGAAAAACAAGCCTTGATGATGACAGAGAGGAGAGAGATTAGTGCTTCGTTCTGATCACTGTGTTTTAAGTATTAGTCATCAAATAGCCTCTCACTTGATGAAATGGAAGAGGCTCTTTGGGTTTCAGACGTATTCCTCTTTTGTCCCTGTGAGTTCATAGTTCCCTTGAGTGTTGGGCTGTAATAACTTTGGGGGTACATGGTGAGTCTGTTTGCTGGTTCCTCAGTCACACTAGATACATTCCAAGTGCTCGATAATCAGATGTAGATAGTGGCTACTGCTTTGGAGAGGGGGGATTATTGACCGTTTCCATTATTACAGAAAGTTCTATTGGACAGTCCTGCTCTACAAGAGAGGGAACCTCGTATCACATGCTTCAAAGGTATCCAGCGTAGGTTCCATGCAAAATGTTTATACCATTTTTAGGCTCCCAACCCAAAAGAGCAACCTTTAATGGCTTATCATGGTTCCCCATTCACCCACCCACTCCTCCCCCCTTTTTTTTGCCCACCTCCCACCCCCTTTCTGCAAGTCACATTTAGGGGGTTTGATAGCTTGATATGTTTAAATGTTCATTTCTTCCTCTTGGTTCCCATAGGTCCTGTGTGACAGACATGTGTGAATGTCCAGTCCATAAAAATTGTTACTGCGAGTCATTCCTGGCATATACCCGGGCCTGCCAGAGAGAGGGTATCAGCGTCCACTGGGAGCCTCAGCAGACCTGTGCAGGTGAGACGCTCCTGGCAGATCCAGCCACCAAAACTTCACTGCAATGTCCAGCACAGCAGTGGGAGGGACTGCTGACTTGAATGGCCCCATCCCCCCTTGGCCAAAGGGAAATCATGTTGGTGACCCAGCTGGATTGCAACTTGATGAAACACTGGGGCTTCCCACTGGGCAGGGTAGAAAGCACTTAAGAGAAATACTTTGTGACAAGTATATTTGAACAATTTAAGGATTTCCACTGTTACAAAATCCTCTCAACCTCAAGCTACCAGCTGGATGTACTTAGCACATGGACAATCACAGCTGTGGCGTAGGTTTTGTGTAGAACAAAGAGGATTCAGGACAATTTGTCATTTAAGGTCTTCGGGATGAGTGTGATTTTTTTTTTGAGAGAGAGAGAGAGAGAGGTTATGATACAAACCCTAGCACAATGTTCTTTTCCCTCTGATTTCTATAATGATTGTTATAGCTCTTTGATCTCAGGCAAGTTAATTAGCTTATTTGATGCTATGAAATGGACTTCTGTGTTCATCCAAGAAATATTTCTTACAAACTGGCTAAGTACTGGGCATTGTGCTAAGCACTGTGAGAGCTGAGGCTGTCACTGAGGTGCCCACAGTCCAGTGAGAGAACCAGACGAAACATAGTAACTCTACAGTAAATACTTGCTAAGGATGATAAGTGTGGTGAAGTAAACAAACAGGGCAGAGCAACAGAAAGCAAATGGAGAGGGACTGGGTGGTGACAAGGGAAGGCTTTTCTCTGTGCGGGTGATATGCCACCCAGATCCTGGAGAGCCGCAGTGGGTCAGGGGCAGCAGAAGAGGGGACAGCCGTACGTAGGAATGAAAGAGCAGGCTGTCAAACTGGAAGGGAGCCAGAGGGGGCTGAGTGTGGTGGAAGTGGGCAGAAGGGCACACAATGTGGGTGGGGCGGGACCAGGAGCTGGACCAGGGAGGGCTTTGCAGGCCTTCGGAAGGAGTCTGGCTTTTATTTCAAGAGAAGTGGAAGCCATGGATGGGCTTTAGGCAAGCCCCTTTATGCTTTTCAAAGATCACCCTGTATAGAGAATAGACTGAATAGAGCACAATTGAAAGCAGATGGCCAGGCAGGAGGCTGTTGCAGTAGTTGTGGTGAAAAAATTAAAAATTAAAATAATAAAGATGGTGGCTTGGATTCAGATGGAGGCAGTGCATGAGGAGAGAAGAGGTTCTAGAGATCTTTTGGAGTTTTACAATAATATTGGCTATGCAGAGTTATAAGCATTAGTGATATGTGTGTGAAGCACCTGGAAGAGTGTCCGACTCAGGAGATGCACAATCAGTAGTAGCTGCTGCTATTTAGATTTGAAGATGGGATGAATGAATGTTTGTCCCTTCCTTCAAAGGTTGGTGACATTTTCCTGTAAAGGTCCAGATTTGCCTGCAGTGAAGAGACTGGGTGTTGCCATATTACACGCATGCTAGCAACCTTAGCGCTGATATTAGAAAAGAAGGCAGTTCCTGGCATTGCTAACTTTAGAATGTCTCTGTTGGTGGCGGACAGGAGTGATTATCTGGTTGGTTGGAACAAGGGTGAAGAAGGGGTATCCTGAAGCTGTGTTTTCAGTGCATGGATGTCTCATTCACTTAAACCAGTGGGTCTCAATCCAGCTGAACATTGGAGTCAGTTTGGGAGCTTAAAAAGCAAAAACGAAACCAGAAACCTATGTCTGGGCCCGTACCCAGATACCTTGCCTTAATTGTCCTTGTGTATCTTTGCAGAACTTCTCAGGTGATTCTGACCTGCAGCCAGAGTTGAAATCACTGAGTTAGTTTGAATGCTTAGCTGGGTGACTTTGGGGGAGTAAGATGACAGGTATTTGGGGGTTCCTCAAGCCTCCTCAAGCTGCCCCTGAACACAGTCACTAGTCTGTGTCTTTGAAAAGCACCAAAGCCCTTTTATCTCCTCTGTCTTCCCATTTGGATTTTCTCTCTCCTCTGCAAACCCAAGTCGAATTTTTATATCTGAGTTCACCTTCGGCAGCAAGAGTACCTCTCTGTCCATGCTGACCAAAGCTCAGAGGAATATTGATTTGATAAAAATAACTCACATTAAGGCCCGGTTGAGGCTCCTGAAAGGTGAGACTAAATGGCTTCCCTCTTACTTAATCCATCAGTGCGTTATAGCATAGTACCGGCGATATTTTTGAGGGTCTGGGTCCTTTCAGCACATCTTGGCTGTTCACTATGCTGAGTCCTCCTTCCCTTGAATCTACCAGAAAATGAATAAACTACATGCAGCCAAGCCCCATCTATCCATCCTGGTGTAATGTAATGCTCAGTAGAATGTCATTAATTTTATTATCTGTGGTGGTGCTGTGGTAAGAATCATATTCGATACAGAATATATGAGCTCTCTCTTCCTGGCCCCAGAGCTATATTTAGCACCATTTCAGCACACACATTGCATTTGAAGATGACACGTTTCACCTCAGCATCCTGATTTCAGGGACTAAACTCAGAAGCTAAAATTACTTTTCTAATGGAGAAGGAATATGGCTCCTGAACGGTTCCATTTCCCACTTATGGTTAGTGGAGCCACCTGGGTGAAGTAAAACTCTGTCAACATGCAGTTGCAGGGGAACCTTTTACACACACACACACACACACACTCACACACACACACTCACAATCGTACACACTCACACATACACTCACACACTCTCACACATACACACTCTCATACACACACTCACACATATGCTCACACACATTCACACATACACTCTTACACACACATACATACACACACTCACACATACACACATACACTCACACACACACACACATACACTCACACACACACACATCATGAGCTTCCACAGATTGACAGCTGCTACAGGAGAAATTTACAGAGACATGCAGGCTCTCTCAGGAGATTCATTTCCTATTCATCTGGAATACTGAAAACTGTAAAAATACCTGTTACTTGATTTTTAGCTCCCAGATCTTTTGACTTATGACAACACTTAAGGCCACGTCATACAGAGAAGGAAAATTTTCCAGTGTAAAAAGCTGGGAAGTTGAGTAAATAAGAGGCCAGCCAGGCTTGAAACTTAGAATGAACAAGTGACTTTCCAAGCCCAGGCTGGATTTTAACAGTATCATGACTACCGACACAAAGTACGTGCCCATCAGCTACAGCAAGAAGGGCTAGTGGACCTCCAGCCTAGCATGTGAATGACTAAATACAACACAAGGTGCAAAGTCTATAAAAGTTTAAGAATGATGATTTATGTTAATAGTTACCATTATCTAAGCACCTCCGTGTCCCCAGGATTCCACTAGCATTTTTATTACATTGTATTTTGTTCAATTCACATTGTAATCTATTTGGTAATATTCTCTTATCCATGTTTTACTGATAAGGACATTGAGGCTTAGACTATTTAAGTAATTTACTAAAAGTCACAGAACTCAAAAAGGAGAAAGTTGGGAATTGAACCCAGGCCAATTTGCTTTATAGTCTCTGTTCTTAATTATTATGAGTAGACAGACAAGCAGAGCCCTGTGGAAAAATACATTTAAATATGAATATATATTTATTTGTACATTTATAGAAGCATCAACTAATTTATTCAAATACCGGGGTGCCATAAAAATGTATACAAGTGGATACTTTGGTCAGCGTTGCGCAAGCAGCAGTTCACCGTAGTCAGAAATGTCTGGACGCTGATGGAAACCACTTTGAGCACCTCTTGTAATTGCAGAAGTCAAATGTGACTTGTACTCATCTTTTGTTATGGGTGTATATTATTACAATTTCCTCTCTTAACATGTATATACATTTTTTTGGCACCCTTTGTATTTGTTAGCTATTTCTAATTTCTATTCACGCATCCCTCACGACTGATAGTTGTTACTTGGTACCTTCTGACTTTATAACTCTGTTATGATCCTGCTCTTCTTAGGAGATTTTCTGCCACCTGCCTGTAGCTGACACTAATTGTCCCAGCAATTTCAGTGATACATTGTATAAGAGGAAAAGGTGCTGGGATATTCAGAGTGCTGTGTGTCTTTCTGCAGCACCTCAGATGTCAGCTGGGTTCCGGGAGCAGTTTCAGCTTGTTCTATCCTGCAAACTCCGGGTGATTTCTAGCCCCTTTGCTGCAGCATCTATGCCCTACTCAAACACACCGAGCTTTTTCTTGGCTGACTGGGTGCCTCCTGTAAAAGTATAGGAGATAAAGTCCAAATTGTGACCTGCAGCCCTAGTGGGCAGACTATGGGGACAGCTGAGTTCCAGAGGGCACAGAGCCATGTTTATTGAACTTATTGATTAAGCAATCATGTATTGCCACATAAAGTAATGCATAATGCTATTTGTGCATTACCAGTAGCCACCTGTGTGCCCCCTTTGAGAATAAATACATGCCAACTCGAGCCACTTTGGTAGTTTCCTGGTTTTGTAAAAAAAAATGTTAAACCAAATGAATTCTTTTTTTTTTTTTAAAGATTTTATTGGGGAATTGGGGGAGGGGAACAGTGTTGGGGAATTGGGAAGGGGGACCAGCCAAGTTGTTGCTCTTCAATCTTCGCTGTGGAGGGCGCCAGTCACCATCTGGCTTCCCGTTGACAGCTTGTGGCCTCTAAGCTCAAGGTGCTGTGTTCAATCTTAGTTACGAGTGGGAGTAACCATCCCATGCGGGAGTTGAACCAGCAGCCTTGATGTTAAGAGCTCACACTCTATCCACTGAGCCATCTGGGCAGCAGCTCAGCTCAAGGTGCCGAGTTCAGTCTTAGTTGTGGGTGGGTGTAGCCCACCATTGAACAGGCAGTCTTGTTACACCAGCTGAGCCACCCTGCCACCTGATGGCAGCTCAGCGACAGCTCAGCTTGGGCACAGCGTCACTGGTCCATGTGGGAATCGAACCAGCGGCCCTGTTGCTCAGAGCTCACACTCGTAAGCCAACTCTTCACCAACTGAGCCACTCGGCCGGCCCCAAATGAATTCTTTTCAAATGCATGTGTGAAGATCAAATCATATTATGCTCTAAAAAAATTATCATTTGCCTTTTATAAGTTTGTAAAAAAATTTGGATTCACAGAAAGGCAAAACAGGGTCCAAGTCAATATTAACTTTCTAGGTTTGTCTAAAAGTTGTGCCAATTTGGAGGCAGACTTGATCATGTCATCCCCCAGTTCAGACCCTTCCAAGACTCCCCGTTGCCAAGGCTTGCAGCCTCTTCCTACTCTGCCTTTGTCTCCTACTCTCCCTCCTGAAATGTCATGCTTCCCGCCATCAAGCCAAGGGCCCTCCCTTCCCTGGTTGAACCCTGGCCGCTTGTTGTTGCTAACACACCTCCCTTTGCTCTTGCTGTTCCCTCTGCTTGCTGTCTCTTTCTGCCATTGTCTGTCTGACACTTTGACTCGCCTTTTTAGACTTAAGTGGGATCTGGTCCCTGAAGTCCTTCCTTGATCCCTCCTCCCAAAGAGTTGAGTTGATGTCACTCTCTTACTCTTCCACGGTACTCTGCTTTCATTGTCTTATAAGGTACATCCTACATCTAATGAAGAACCTGTTTCCTTGTCACCTTCACCTGTCTGGTTGTAAGCCCAGGCTCCTGTAACTGGAGGTCAGAAATGACATCTACTTCACATCTGATTCCTCGGCCTAAGAGGATGCTGTTTACACTGTACATACTTAGTAGATGTTTACTGATGTAATTTGAATTGAAATGGAGGTGGTAATTGTATGAGGTAAAAAGATCTTTTGTCATCCCCACCCCCAGCAGTTCTTAATGTTCTACATTCTACTTTCTACCTATAGATGGAAGGACATATCAGTGTTCGATAGTTAAAGGTAAGATGTCACGGAAGAGCATTAGTAAGTGAAGTGGCAGAGAGAGAAAAAAAGAATTGAGAGGTCAGAGAGAGGGAAAGACACCAGGGAGGTCTTATCTATAAGAAAATGAGGGGACAGGCAAGAGGACTGGTGGGGAAGAGGAAATACTGCAGAGGTTTCATACTAAAGGGATCTGTGCAGGATTGGAAGGGGAGCAAAGGATCTGGAGGGTAAAGTGAGTTGAAAGAGATGTCCTGGAAGCAGCAGAGTGGAAAATGAACTCAAGGCCAGCCAAATGTAATCCACACTGGGAACAGGGATGATGGATTGAATGTCATTAAGATTAAATCATCATCCAACAGGCACAGACATTTATTAAGCTGCTCCCTTGTGCTTGGCTCTATGCCAGAGCTTTGGGTCATAGAAGACAAGGATTTTGCCCCCAAGAGTCCAGGTCTCCGTGGTTCACTCTCTTCAGCCAGGAGTGCTTGTCATAGCGACACCTGGAGTTTTTAAAATCTGCGGCTACCTGGGCCCCACTACAGACTCAGAGCAAAAGTCTTTAGGGAATGGGGCTTAGGACTAGATATCTTTTTAAAAAGGTACTCGGGATGCTTATGAGCATCTCTGATTAAGAACCACAGCTGCACTCAAATTGTGGGATTAAAACAAACAAATAACTATAATATGAAAAGTACTGTGGAATGCAGAGGAGGGAGGATAGCCTAGCGGGGGATCCAGGAAGCTACTTGAAGGAGGTCGGTTTGAATTAAGACTTGGAAAATGATGAGACTGGGAAGAGAATCAGAGCTGATGATAGTCTATTTCGGAGCTCCCTGGAAATTAGAGATCAAATTGTGGTAACTGCTCTGTGTGTGTGTGTGTGTGTGTGTGTGTGTGT